AAAATAAACTTATTTATTTTGAATTTTATTTAGGTTTCGCTGGCGAATGCGCCCCGACCTTGTCAATAACATTGTATTTGGTACGCCGTTTGAATCACTGCCGTTCTTGTGTCGCATCTAATACAATTAAGTTCGGCACATGAAGAGTACGCCGTCTGAAACAGGCCTTAACTTACTATTTACCTCTTACTAGCTATTTATATTCTAGAGTAACACTATCGCCCGTATTCTAAAAGCTCACTCACACTCAATGAGTGGAGGTTCAATCTGAGCTTTTCTTAGGTGCCAGTGCAGTTTTTGAATAGCTGGAGGGTTAGTATCGTACCTTATCGTTAGTATCGAGCATTTATCCCTGGGGCTATCCCATTTATCCCAAAGCGTCAAGGGCCCTTAAAATTACCCTAGCATAATATGCAATAAACTGTAATATATTGTAAAACACTCAATTATGACGTCATAACGTCATATGACGCCTGGGAAAATTTTGTGACGTCATAAGTGTTACGCTTTTGTAAATGAGTTTTTATTTATAAATTTAGTGCAATAAAACAAGTACCATAAACTAAAATATATCATCTGCGCCGTCTTCGCCAGTCGCGCGAGTATCTGTTGCACAGTAGCCCTATCGTTACAATAGGGGCTTCCTAGTTTTTCCCCGGGACCCGCGCGACCTCTCGGCGGTCCTGCCCTAAAGTCCTCATGAGTTATTACTGACATAGGGTCGTGTGGGGATAAAATAGAGATTTGTACCAGTACTTTTGCAGTTTTGCTACTGGGAATGGGATATTAGGCAAATCAGTGGGCGGGGTCAATTTTGGTTGGGACAATGGAATTGAACATCCCCCCTCAGTCTTTTACGGGAATTACGGATCTCTTAATGATATTTTAAAATGAGGTTGTAAATAGTGTCTTTGTTTTCTTTGTTTCTCATCTAATACACTGTAAAGACTTGCCCGAGGAAAAAATCAAAAAGCCTCTCAGGGTTTTTTCATAATTTTAATGTGTACATGTCGTATATAATTGTTGTTGGTGATTGGTTAATTTCTCATCAATTGTAATAAATGAAAATAGAAATTTATCTATATTCTAAAGAAATTGATCATATTCTAAATGTTGGAGATCGAGTTGGAGATCTCGCTAGATAGAACCAGGGACGCAGAAAGCTTGACTGATAAACTTGGGGGGGG